TATTTATTGTTTTATAATTATAATTCTGAAATAGTTTGTATAATAACTATAAAACATTTTTTATGTAACGATAATAACATTTAAACTTTGTGATATTACTCAGAAAATATCTTACTTTACTTTCAATATCTATTAGCAGATTCGGTAGCCTGCACTNGTGCGCACTGAATGCGACTTTTTCAATGAAACTTCCAAAAAAAGTTTCATTAAAAAAGTCGCACTCAATGCGTACTAGTACAGGCTATCGAATTTGCTGTATAAGTATACCTATATTGGCACGCACGTGCGACGGTTTAAATATGGCGGTACCTCCCACCACTCGTTCTTTAGTTCACTACTTCCGGTGACCTAGCCCAGGCGGCGCTGAAAACAGCGTTCCCCTTCTCACAAAAGGCGAGTTTGAACCCCCTGGTGCTTCGCACTGTACATTCGATTTTATTCTGTGGAAAACAGTGTTTGAGTGAAAACAGAAGAATCTTAGCTAGTAAGATGAAATTTCTTGTTGTTTTTGCTTGCGTGATAATACTTGTTGTGAGTATCTTTTTCTGTTGTAATACATTACAATTATATATTACTAAGATAAAATATTATCCTGCAATTAATATTTCTATTAATATATACACTATATACATATATTAATATATACAGATATATTATATATACAGATAGAAAAGAGATCGTTTGTTTTAAAATATACATGTATATTTTAAACCAAACAGTCAACACGTTATAACTTGTATCCCTAATCAGGATAGAAAAACTAAAATAATATTTAATATTTTTAAACGTTGCAGTCTTCAGGTGAGATAAAAGAACAAGTAAAAAATGTAATATCACAAACTAAGGCCGAACAATCATTTGAAACGTGTATGAACGAGAAAAATATGACTAGGAGTAAGTAATGCTGCAGATTTTTTTATATTACTTTTATTTGAATTTGTTTAGATATTTATTTGCATAATACTTATATATTTGCTTGAGAAAGAAAAAGATCTTTTGCACTGTTAACTTACGATGTAGGTGACTGGTTCTCAGAGGACAAAATAATGACTGACGCTCATACAAAACCTGAAAATACGGAGAAGAAAAATACCAACGGTTACGCTATTACTTGTATTTTAAAGAAGCTTGATCTTGTAAGTTTCTAAACAGATCACGACTTATTTCATGTTAAGATGTAAACATCTTTTGTGCAATCAATTGAGATCAATTGACTAATATAAATTTAATACATTATCACGTAGTAAATTACTGTAAAAGTAATAGTTAGTCTTAAAAGAGGAACATTAAAAACTAACTTGAGCAATACAATGTTAATATACAAATTTTTGTATTTTTACGTTTTCTTTTTTTTGATAATTTCAGATGGATGAATCAAACAACATTATGGAAGCAAAAGTGCATTTGAAAATACCTATAAGGTTCAGGTCCAGTCCTTTCATCGCAGCAATAATACACAAAGTTGCACGTAACTGTATGAAGAAAGGTAAATTTTTGTTAGATTTGAAACAATAAATTTGCTAACACTAAAACTAAGAGGTGTATTTCGCTGTATTGAAATATAGAAAACGTAGTATGATGAAAATCTTTCTCTACAAAATCTATTCTACAAAAAAAATGATATCAATAAGTAACGCCAAGTAAAGTCTTGTACATTTATACATTGTTACAAAATATATAATATTATATAAAACTTTGTAAGTTGTTTATACATTGTTATAAAATATAAAATATTCCAAATAGAAAGTTTAAAAAGTGTTATGCCACGGCCATGTGTTCTATGGTTGCTAGGCAAGTGGCGTTGAATATTACTCTAGAAAAAGTATTACTTTAAAAATCTTTCTCTACAAAATCTATTTTACAAAAGAAATGATATCAATAAGTAGCACCAAGTAAAATCGGGTGATACTCTATTGACCACAGTACGATTCGACACCGCTCGATTCGACACCACATTATTGGACACAAAATTATTGGAGACAATGAATGAATTAACATCGGGTTATTCGAGCCGGTTTGCAGGATGTTGTGCAGAGAATG